CTAAGTGATGCACTCTGTCGCCTACCTAGATCGCCCACCCACCCACCCACCCACCCGCGTAAATAACAGTGACCGCTTTCTAAAACACACGACGTAAACATTAACTTATTGATGGTTATCGATGAGCGCTGTGTGAGTCAACGCCGAAGGTGTGTGTGTGTGTGTGTGTCGTCAGAAATATATTGAGGTTCTTTCACCATTAAGTTTAGAAGGTGGTGGTTGCTAGAGAGGCGGGTGGGTTAGGTTGGGTTATGCTAGGGAGAGAGAGGCGGGTGGGTTAGGTTGGGTTATGCTAGGGAGAGAGAGGCGGGTGGGTTAGGTTGGGTTATGCTAGGGAGAGAGAGGCGGGTGGGTTAGGTTGGGTTATGCTAGGGAGAGAGGCGGGTGGAGTTGGTTGGGTTATGCTAGGAGAGGCGGGTGGGTTAGGTTGGGTTATGCTAGGGAGAGGCGAATTGGGTTAGTTGGTTGTAGGTGGGTTATGGGTTATGCTAGGGAGGTGGTGGGGTTGGGTTGGGTTAGAGGGAGAGAGGCGGGTGGGTTAGGTTGGGTTATGCTAGGGAGAGAGAGGCGGGTGGGTTAGGTTGGGTTATGCTAGGGAGAGAGAGAGGTAAACAGCCAAGAAGTAGCACATAGAGAGAGAGAAAAAATGATGGTCGAGAGAGAGGGATAGAGGTCTCTGGGTACAGTAGCAGGCCTAGGCAGATCTCCTCCATCAACAGCGTTATGGCCACCAGCGCCACACACGGAAAGAAAAAAAAATCTGGTGTGTGTCTGTACCGGCGATTACCACAACCCCTCCTGCCCCATCCCCCCCCCTCCTAAGCCTTCTTCCCCCATTCCCTCCTTTTCTCCTGCCCTTCCCACCTTCCCCTTTCACTTCTCTCCTCCTTCCCCTCCCCCATTCTCGTCCTGAAATCACAACGTTCTTCATATCACACACACACACACACACACACACACACACACACACACACAATAATACCTTATTTAAGCCCTTTTACCACCACCGCCATACATCACACCCGTTACCTTCACTATATGATAAAAAAAAAAAGAACTTGGGTATTTTTTTCTTCCATTCGCTCCACAAAAACTGACACAGGACCAACAGTCAGTCATCCATCAGACGCTGGGGACCTCAAGCGGGCACTAACGACGCCAGATGATGGAATTTGTACTCTTGTGTGTCGGTAAGGGAGGAGAGAGGTGTTTGCTTGGTAAGGGCTAAGAGAATAATATATACAGTATAGTATAGTCAACACCATCTTACACCACAGCCTCACCTATACACCTCATATACCCTGGATTAATGTACGTATATAATCATGAAAAACATATAATTTGATATATTAATCCAAAAAATTAATTATACCTAAGATGGTGGTGAAATTAGTTGGTATTTTACGATAGATTGTTGAAATGTTTTGATGGTGATTAAGTGATAGTGTTACCTGTCAAGATAGTCGTAGGTTAGACAGGTAATGTCTTCACGCTCACTGTCTGCCGTCCATCATTCCTCCCGTCCATTTGTTCGTCTGTTAGTCTGTCATACTGTTCTCCTGCGACAGAAATACCTGGGTGAATTATTGTAGTTTTTTTTTTAGTTGTTTCTTGTGGGTTTTTAGTTCCACAACACTACCACCACCACACCACCAATACAGTATACACCACCACATCACCACCATAGTACAACCCCACCACCACCACATCACCACTACAGTACACCACCACATCACCACTACAGTACAACCCCACCACCACCACAACATCATCACCACCACCACATCACCCCTACAGTACACCACCATCAGAACACCACAAAAACACCCTCAACACCATCACATCACTACAACACCACACCAACATCACAACACCAATATCACAACACCACCATAACACCGTCACACCACCACATCAATATAATCTACTACTTTTAGGTTAAAGATAAACTATATATAAAAAAAAATATATTACCTCCCGTTTGACTAAATTTTCGGGTTGTTTAGACGCTGAATAAGGTGTATCAAAGGTAATTGGTTGGCTTAAGTACTGGAGAATTAAGAGACCCAGGGGTTAAAACTTCCCTCGGGTTCATTAACACGTCTAGAGGTCGCGGGGATCCATTATATATAGTGAGACTACCATTCACAAACCACTATTTAAATAACGATTCAAATTAGGTCATCTGGTGTAGCATTAAGTATTAAATTCATGTAAATATTAAGCTTGTGTTAGTAGAATGCTATTATCAACTAGGAAGTGTCTTTATGCTAGTATGTTTCGGGGGAATTTCTGTATTGTGGTATGTGGCAGTTATAGCTAAGACCCGTTCACATCCTCGTCAGCGTCTCCTTCAGTGCGTCCGTCTGTTTACCCCTGTGACCGCTTGTAAACACCTACGTCATAGCTAACTCAGGAATATTAGGGAATGTGCCCTTGTGTATAGGTATGACAAGTGGTTATTGTAGTGTTTGTTTCTCAGTAAGTTGTGTCTCCCGTGTGTCTCACTAGATGGCCTGAGCTCAACTCCTGTTTGTGTATCCGTTCAGAATTGTCAGTACTATAATCAGGGACCCGCATCCTCGACCTGCCAACTGTGTATGTGTGCCCCTTCCCTTCCCTTCCCTTCCCTTCCTCCTCCTCTCTCTTCCTCTTCCACCACCATTACCACCTGTCTCCTTCCTCCTCCTCCACCACCATTACCACCTGCTTATGTCATGCTGCTTAGGTATTGGTCAGCTCATTAGTCTATTACATCCCGTCTGGTGATTGTTTGGTACGTAACCTCGACTTTAAGTGTTATTGTTTTTGTTGATTTGTTATTGTTGTTTTTGTTATTGTTTTTTATTGTTATTATTGTTGTTGTTTGTGTCCTTGTTTGTGGTTTGTGATAGTAACAATCGTGTGGAGAGAGAGAGAGAGAGAGAGAGAGAGATTACATATACTACACTACACACTCAGAGCTGAACAATGTCAGCTACGCACAGAGGAGAGCAGGTGCCTGGTAATTCGATCAGGTATTTTTGACAAGTAAACACTCAACAAGACTATCGGGTACCAGAGCTCTTGACTGTGATTGCTAGCACGTCGAATACACCCTAATTCACAACAGTTCAGCAGCTGGGACGAATATTATTGTTTACACTTTGTTCACGTCTACTGTACCACACGTCGACTTCATAGCATTTCAAAATATTAATAATCTTTGTATTTATTTATGTAGAATGTTTTAAATTAGTTGTTGTTATTGATTTTAATGGTATCTGTTCGTTGCTACATAGGAGATACGAAATTAATTCAGAATGTTTAGCTAGTGATATTTGATCATTCTCGACCTATGTGTTCGTTCATTTAGTTATCATAACAGGTGTGTTAGCCAATTAGTTTACAGGTTAATTTTCAACCCATAATCTTACCTGCTAATTAGTTACACGTTAAATACAGGCAAGTAGTCCCCTCTTTGGCACATTAAAGGTACGAATTATGAAATAAACACAAGCAAATTGGATTGTCTCTATGAAATCTGATTCTTCGCTTCAAGTTTCAGAATCACTTTACGACCTTAGATGTTTGTGAAGGGAATGATATAGAGATGTTTCCTTAGCCCACCCCCCACTACCTGTGTACTTGCCCCTACTATCTGTGTACTTGTCCCTACTACCTGTGTACTACCCCCATTACCTGTGTACTACCCCCATTACCTGTGTACTAACCCCTACTACCTGTGTACTTACCCCTACTACCTGTGGAGTTGGAGTGACTAACCTAACTACAGTGATCGAACCTGGCTCCTGTGTTCTTCGTAAGTGGAGAGAGCTGTAGTTATCACACACACACACACACACACACGCACGTTCTCAAGGTCGGTGTCGGGGCGTGAAGGTCGAGCAACATTTATCAAGAGAAAATGGTTAGAGAGTGAGAGCATCAGTCACCTCACCACTACAGGTCATTGGCGATGTGTGTGTGTGTGTGAACCCGTTGGCTGCTTCGTCAGGAAGGTAGTGGCTCCCAGCGTCTCAACTTACACCACCCACCACTACTCTCTCCCCCTACCACTACTCTCTCCCCCACCACCACTACTCTCTCCACACCACCACTACTCTCCCACACCACCACTACTCTCCCCCACCACTACTCTCCCCACCACCACTACTCTATCCCACACCACCACTACTCTACCCCACCACCACCACTACTACTACTACTACCCTCCCTCCACTACCCTATTCCACCTCTACCACTCCTCACTCTATCCATCCATCCCCTACCTATTTGTTATTACCCAGGTGAGCTTCATTAAGAGCACCAGGTAAGAGTGTAAATTAAAGCCTCCTGTCTCTCAAGTGTCCCCATAGCCTGCCACTGTCGCCGGGGTACTCTTAATGTGTCCCCAGGTGCAAGGTGCCTTAATTAACGCCAGCCTTCACACCTTAGATATCTCGAGGCTTTTTTCTACTAAACGTTGGGAAATGGTTCTATTGTTTACCTGGAGGAGTGTGTCGTAGGTATAGCGTGTTTGGTTTGGATCTCGACCTAACCTAACCTAACCTAACCTAACCTATTTACTTTATTATATGGACGTCCTCGTGTAAAGGCTCTTATTGGGTTGAAAATGGTTAAAAAGATTATTTCCTTGGTGGTGAAGAATAATGTTCAACAATACCACACAAAATGTACCCTAGGATGTAATGTTAGACAGTCACTCACACGTTACTTGGCTGAGTAATGTGTTCCAACTTATACAGTGTACCATATGTCAGTGTTAGACTATACTGTACGGTATGTCTCTGTCTGGGGGTGTCTGTCTGTCTTTTTGCTCTCTCTCTCTCTCTTTAAAAAGGGACATGGCACCTCAGAGGACACCAGGACATCTGACGAAGTGTCCAGCAGGCCGCCGTCAGATTCCCCGTCTCTCTTCGTCAGCGTCCCCCCCCCATCCCTCCCACTCTTTACTACTATACCTGTCACTCAATTCGTCCCTCTCCTCCCTCTTACAGACGGGATTCGTTCGCACCGACCACGATGAGTTCCTGATAGAGCCAGTACGTGACCACGCCCCCACCACCCACGACGACCCACACCCTCATGTGGTATACAGACGTTCAGCCCTGCCCACACCCGACGCCCATACCTGCTCGACACCTGGTGAGTGTTACAAGTTATTGGTGAAATTTCTGGTGCAAAGGTGAGGGTTTATTGGTGAAGGGAACTGTACTACCGTGACCTTTCCTACAGTAGTCTCTCCCTACAGTGCCACTGTCTACAGTAGTCTCTCCCTACAGTGCCACTCTCTACAGTAGTCTCTCCCTACAGTGCCACTCTCTACAGTAGTTTCTCCCTACAGTGCCACTTTCTACAGTAGTCTCTCCCTACAGTGCCACTCTCTACAGTAATCTCTCCCTACAGTGCCACTGTCTACAGTAGTCTCTCCTAGTGCCTCTTACAGTAATCTCTCCCCACAGTGCCTCTCTTGGTAGTCTCTCCTCAGTGCACAGCTCCTACAGTGCCACTCACTAGTAGTCTCTCCTCCAGTGCCACTCTCTACAGTAGTCTCTCCTTACAGTGCCACTCTCTACAGTAATCTCTCCCACAGTGCCACTCACTAGTAGTCTCTCCCCTACAGTGCCACTCTCTACAGTAGTCTCTCCCTACAGTGCCACTCTGTAGTCACAGTGCCACTCTGTACAGTCTCTCCCTACAGTGCCACTCTCTACAGTAGTCTCTCCCTACAGTGCCACTCTCTACAGTAATCTCTCCCTACAGTGCCACTCTGTACAGTAGTCTCTCCCTACAGTGCCACTCTCTACAGTAGCCTCTCCCTACAGTACTATAAGATATAAGTACAAGGCATAACACAACTAAAGTATTACCCAACAGACTCCTCCCTATGGACTTACCGTGAACACTGAAGCTCCTCGTGGTATCCAATCACACTCACGAACAGCTAAAATGACGTCACTGGTCTAAAAGTCGAGAAATTAATTAAATCTATAAATCTAGGGCTTTTCTTTACCAAGTTTCAATAGTATTTTCCGTAATCATTATATAATTGAATTATTAATCGATTATGTTTGATTAGTCTCAAACTTCATTAGGTTAAGTTATTGCCGGATTATAATTAGTAGTAACACGGGTATTATAATTAATTGGTAACAACACAGGTATTTTTCATAACTCTATTAATTAGATAATAGTTGTGGTTGTTGTTGTTATGTCCTCACTAACTCAACCTAACCTAACCTAGCAATGGACAGAATCTTTGATGACTTTATCCTGAATCACGACCAATCACCTCGCATCAAGCCCTCATAAGCGTGGATATTCCCAACTACAGCCTAAACACCTATAATAAACTGACAGGTGTTTGACGGTCTGGAACACATACACCAAATGATCGGATTGCGGTTACTTAGCGGACATATGTGGGGCGGTTAACCTCAAGTATGTAGCGGTGTGGTTGTCTGCGGTCACTTTAAGGGTTATCTGCGGTTTAGTGATGCTCTCTCGTATACTTATGGCTTGTCTGTGTGTGTGTCGGTAACTTGTCTGTGGTCTGTGTGTGTGTCGGTAGCTTGTCTGTGTGTGTGTCGGTAGCTTGTCTGTGGTCTGTGTGTGTGTCGGTAACTTGTCTGTGTGTGTGTCGGTAGCTTGTCTGTGGTCTGTGTGTGTGTCGGTAACTTGTCTGTGGTCTGTGTGAGTGTCGGTCGGTAGCTTGTCTGTGTGTGTGTCGGTAACTTGTCTGTGGTCTGTGTGTGTCGGTTGTCTGTGGTCTGTGTGTGTCATTAGCTTGTCTGTGGTCTGTGTGTGTGTGTGTCGGTAACTCTGCCTGTGGTCTGTGTGTGTGTCGTAACTTGTGATCTGTGTGTGTGTCACTTGTCTGTGGTCTGTGTGTGTCGGTAGCTTGTCTGTGGTCTGTGTGTGTGTCGGTAGCTTGTCTGTGGTCTGTGTGTGTCAGTGGCTTGTCTCTGTGGTCTGTGTGTGGCTTGTCTGTGGTCTGTGTGTGTCGGTAGCTTGTCTTGTGGTCTGTGTGTGTGTCGGTAGCTTGTCTGTGGTCTGTGTGTGTGTGTCAGTACAACTTGTCTGTGGTCTGTGTGTGTCTGTGTGGTCTGTGTGTGTGTCGGTAGCTTGTCTGTGTGTGTGTGTGTCGTGTCTGTGTGTGTGTCAGCTTGTCTGTGGTCTGTGTGTGTGTCGGTAACTTGTCTGTGGTCTGTGTGAGTGTCGGTCGGTAGCTTGTCTGTGTGTGTGTCGGTAACTTGTCTGTGTGTGTGTGTGTCGGTAGCTTGTCTGTGTGTGTGTGTGTCGGTAGCTTGTCTGTGTGTGTGTCGGTAACTTGTCTGTGTGTGTGTCGGTAGCTGAAAGTCTCCCTCGGGCCAGTGTACAAGACGTGGGTTGAGTGCTGTCAGCCTCCTTATGAATCGCTACACTGGAGAGGATCTACTGAACCTTCGTCTATAGTGAACGAAAATTACACCACGAAGATATTATCAGTACAATACATTATTTAACTCTTAACGAAATATAAAGAACATAACATTATAACGAATAGTCCACTACACCAACTACCATACCCACCATTGGCAGTAAACACCGGGCGAACGTTCGTCTGGCGTACCCTTAATATAATGAAAGGGTAGTTTTATCTAAGTACAGGTTTATGTTGCTTCATCAACTCTTGAGTACAGGTTTATGTTGCTTCATGTCTGAGTCCTGGTTTATGTTGCTTCATCTCTGTATCTCATGTTGATGAAGCAAAACGCCACTTGCTTCACGTCTCCAGCAATGCGTCATAATGAACCCAACACATAGACGGCTACAACACGCATACACTGCTTCCTTGTGTACCGCAGTATTAGTATGCAGTACCCTATATCCGCACTGCCTCTAATTGGCCGCACACGCCTTTGAGTCTCATTTTCACACATCTTTCATATCTGGTTCCACATTTAACGGACCCTCGATATAACGGACTTTTATCTGTATATAGTTCGTTAGATGGAAGTTCACATCTAACGGACCCTCGATATAACGGACTTCCATCTCTATATAGTTCGTTAGACGGTAGTTTCACATTTAACGGACTCTCGATATAACGGACTTTCCTCTCAATATAGTTCGTTTTTCTGGAATTATTAGTCAGTAAATATTAGTGAAATGTGATGTGCAAGTTTCATTTCAACACACACACACACACACAGGCAGGGTTGAATGGTACTCTTTGTCAGTAAGCATAGTGTAGAATGATCCGCCATGACAGTCTGACGGGTGAGGTGAAACACTCCTACATCTCTCTCTCTCTCTCTCTCCGCCCTTCACTGTGTATAGAGTACCACTTTGCACGTAGAGAACACCACTATATGCAGGACACACACACACACTTATAGAAGTACACGCCGCATTGTTTTGCCCCCAAATACAATGTTTAATACCAGTTGGTAATAAACTGAAAGATGTGTGAAGCTACAAATATTAAAACTATATTTTCTGATAACACTCACTGGACCACTACACCTCAGCGAGAAGATCACCCTACTGTGTGTGTAGACTATTGTGATTAGTCATGAACACGAGGCACAAAGACGCTAATCTCCCTCAAGGCACAAGACACATTACTTTGTCTAGACAGGCGGAGGCAGACACCGATAGACAGGGAGATATCCAACACCCTGACACACACACACACACACACACACACACACACACACACCTGTAAACTGTTCATTAAGATACCTTGAACACTGACTGCGCATGATGTGTTGGGTGTAGCCCTCACTCTAGATGACAATCAGATGCAATAAGTGGGCGCCTGCTGGACTTCTCGCCACTGGACAATTAGTAAGGTTTCCAGTGAGCCAGAGAGACGCTAAGCTGGAGGGGAGGAACAGGACGGCCAGGTGACCCAGGTAATTGCATCACCTTCTGTTATCTTACACTTCTGGTTGTGTCTCAGTGTCGTCATCTGGTACACTAGGAGTCTCCACTGACCAGGAAGTGTAGTATACAAGGTCTCTATCACCTGTGGGTGTTGTTTTTATCGTCTGGCAGGCTCTGCGTCTGTCAGTGTAATAAATGACAAAAGTTCATTACGCCACTTCACTACACGAGACCGAGGTACACCCAGGGTTGTTTTTCCTGGTGGGGGCGAGACGTAAAGATTCTTGGTGGAGTTGAGGGAACACAGGTAGTTATAGTACAGGTATTGTGTAATTCCAACATCATTTTGATCTTTTTTTTCCCTGTCTTATTTTACGTGTTTCTAATTCTCTCGTTACTGGGGACATATACACGTAGAAAGCAATATCTGGGAACAAAGATTTACTCGTCAAAAAAGAAAAAAAAAGTAATTGATTCTTACCTTCAGCTGTTAATGTTCTTTTTGACATCCAGGTTTTCGGTCGAAGTAAATAACGCTAAAGGTGTACACCCATCACAGAAGGTGCCTCAGCGTCCAGTTTATCCCCGGGAGGAGTTCAGTGGCCCCTTGGATGATGTCAACACAATTGTATACTTAATTAATCCCCCCCCGAGTCTACAGGAGTTTTCATTCTCTGGACACACAAGTTAATGCTGTTGTGAGGTGTAACTCTCAGCCCGTCACACATTATCTCATTAACATTACCTGGCAGTATTTTTAGTGTCTTAAGTAATAATCCTTTTGCGTGACTAACTCCATCATTGATAACAAAAAAAATATAAATCTGAAGATAAGGAAAGGCTTAGCGTGTCTGGGGTACATGCAACGACCCTGGCTGGCTTGGGTGGGGTGGTGAGGGTGGGGGAGGAGGAGGAGGTGGGTGGTGAAGGTGGGGTGGTGAGGGTGTGGGAGGAGGTGGGTGGTGAAGGTGGGGAGGAGGTGTGAGGTATGAACACTAACCCCACCGTTGTAATAATAGGGATGACGTCACACTTGCTCAGGCCTCCTCAACTACCAACATTCTTCAAGGTTAGGTTAGGTCAGGCAGGGTCATGTAAATTCAGGTTTAAATAGACTGTCAGGTAAATTGGCCTTAGACTTAATTAGGTTCTATTGAGGTACGATAGATGATGCCAAGGTAACTCAGGCTAAGTAAGGGGAGGAGTGGCTGGGGGAGGGAGAGAGTCGGCCAGTTAGTTAACGAGCCGGTCATCCAAGAAGCCAGTCAGTCAGCCAGCCAACCAATAACCCAGTCAGCCAACCAACCAATAACCCAGTCACCCACCCACCCAGCCAGCCAGTCAGTCAACCAGCCAGTCAGTCAGTCAGTCACCCAGCCAGCCAGCCAGTCAGTCAACCAGCCAGTCAGTCAGTCAGTCACCCAGCCAGCCAGCCAGTCAGTCAGTCAGTCCCAGCCCAGCCAGTCAGTCAGTCCAGCCAACAGCCAGCCAGCCAGTCAGTCAGCCAACCAACCAGTCAGTCAACCAGCCAGTCAGTCAGTCAGTCAGTCACCCAGCCAACCAACCAGCCAGTCAGTCAGTCAGCCAGCCAGCCAGACAGTCAGCCAGCCAGTCAGTCAGTCAGCCAGCGGAGGTACTGGGAAACAAACAGGTTTTTTCTACAGCCGGAGCAAGCTGGGGACGCCCCTCATATTTCAGCCCATAGTTCATGATTACTGGACGCTGGTGGGCGGTGTGTGGCGAGGAAGAACTGAAGGACTTACTGTCAAGATGAGACGTGCTTGTGTTACTACTACTGCTGGTGGTGGAGGTGAAGCTAACTCCTGCTGGTGGTGGTGGTGAAGCTAACTCCTGCTGGTGGTGGTGGTGAAGCTAACTCCTGCTGGTGGTGGTGGTGGTGAAGCTAACCCCTGCTGGTGGTGGTGGTGAAGCTAACTCCTCCTGCTGGTGGTGGTGGTGAAGCTAACTAGTAGTGATGATGGTGGTAGTGGAGTTAGTAGTTGAAGCTACTTTAATTTCGTATCTAAGAGTAAATAAAAAAATAGGTAAAATAATAAGACAGGACACACACACACACACACACACACACACACACACACACACACTCACTTCACTTCACCCACCTCCCCAAATCCTTATCTTCGAGGTAATAACATTTAATTCTTCACACTGAACCAGATGACAGTACCGAACCATTATATAACACAAGTGACTAATAGCGGTGTCAATAGGAACAAGGTGAGGGAATTACTAGCTGCCAAGATGTCCACGAGAAATGTGTGTCTCATGGTTTTGTACAGGTGACCATTACCTGTCCTGTTTTATATATGTAGGTAATTGGATTTAAATTTAGTTCACGTCATGCTTCCCTTTATTGATGTGTTCACGGTGTCGTATTTTTACCTGTTGATGCTTAAACTAATGGTATTGTAAGATGGTATCACTTGATGGTGTTGCCTAATGGTGTCACTTAATGGCATCACTTAATGGTGTTGTTGACCCTCAGATACAGTAGGTCTCGTCATTCCTATGTGTGTGTGTGTGTGTGTGTTTGGGAGGGCAGGGGGATTGAGAAGGAATGAGGGAGAGGGAGGGAAGGATGGCAGTAGGGAGGGAGGGAGAGCAGTAGGGAGAGAGAGAAAAAGAGGGGGGAATGAGG